GTTGTAAATGGTATGGCACTTGCACAAAATATGAAAAGGTAACGTTAGTTTAGAGCGTAAGCAATATATTCATGAAACAATTTATAACTAGCTATATGTAAATAGCAGGGATCTAGCACTGAAAAGTATTTAGTAATCAACTACTGACAGTATTTAGTTGTCAAATAACTGTGGTTGTTGTTCCCTGAATGATTCTGCTCCAGTAATGTCCACTATTTTATACAAAATTAAGCAGCAAAATAGCTGCAATTAGACAAATACATCTTTGGTTTTGTTCCACTGATATAAATGTCATGTACTCTATTTATATGCACTATAAGAACTTTAAAAATCATCGCCATCCTTATCATTATCATCACTGTCATGTTCATCATTGATCATCACCACCATCATTATGACCATCATCACTATCATCATCATCATCGTCATCATTACCATCATCAGTGCCATCACCGTCATCACCATCATCTGCAACACTATCATAATTGTCATCAACATCATTGTTTATCAGGATGAATAACAATTCAATATTATCATTATCATCATCAGGTTCATGCCTATCAATGCCTTTATCAGGATGTGCTTTGTTATTGTCAAAAGCCTATCAAGAAATGGTGTTTAAGTGAACATGTTGGGACAGATTGTGACTTAAGATTAGTAAGTATACACTGATGCAGCCAATATTAAACATCATAATCACCTCATTATTCTGTCAGGGCTCAAAATAGCTGCCTGCTAACGGCCAAATGATAGGTTTTGCCAGGTGAAAATTTTTTAATATAAAGGCACTGCCAAATGAATATTAAAATGGCATGCAAAATTTACTGGAATGACCTCCTTTTACCATGCTCCTTTACTATGGCAGGCTAAAAAAGTTTTCTATTTTGAGCCCTGTCTCACTTATGATTGGTTTTTCGTAATCAGGTTGCTCGACCAATCACACCATGCAAAACTCTATATTTAATTCTAAAATCACCTTAATATAATAAATATATAATTCAATACTTATATAATAAAATAATATACTTAAATAATATTCGATTCAGTGATAAAAATATCGTTCTTCTCAGGATTTACAGCCTGGGATGAATTTTTCTGACTTTTCAAAACCAGAATCAGATATTGAAATGGTAAAGGTAATGTGGTAATGTAGGTAATGTAACATCCTGCAATRTACACCGAATTGAAAAAATGTAGTCGGGTTCAAGAAGGTCATATCATCGAAGCTAAGACCGAAAAGGATTTTGGGTACTCCAAAATTTGGATTATATTTGCATATAGACATGTGAAAATGCACAGTAGAGCAAAGTCGGTCGACCTAGATTAACAACATGCCAAAGCCATGATGCATAAAATGTGCACAGGAAGGGAAAACTGCAATACGCATGAAATTAGCATAATTGTTTGTCTTCCCATGCTTCCCTACGGTCACTTAGCTTTGATGATATAACCTTTTTTTGAACCCAACAATGTTTTTTCAATTAGATGTATGTCCACCTTGCATTATACACATTTGGTTATATTTAACAATAATAGACCTGCAGCCTGAATGGTCATGAATCAATAGCCCAATCAATAAACTTACTCAAAAAATTTAATAAATGGATCTCAGTGAAAAATATATTTAATTGGATTAAAAGGATGTATTTTTTGCATCAATTTGGTTTTAATTTCAAAACTGGCACTTATTGTTACGAGTGGTCTATACACTAAATAGATATAGACCATTAGTAGGTGCATACACTAAAATACAAAATGGAGTTAAATTTTTGATTGAGCCAAAAAGTCATTGCAAATGATCTCAAGTCACTACCTGACACGTAAAAAATTCCTCTGGAGATTCATGTTGTGTTTTTACAGCATAAAGGAGATCAGCATGATGTTATTTTGGAACAGCAGCGTCGTATAAGAGAATTAGAAGAGGAAAACAGAATATTAAAGAATTCAATAAAAAGTTTTAAGGTAAGAAAATCCCCTAGTGATTAATACATTATCATACATTGGACAAGGTTCCATAACTAACATACGGATAGCTAGAGCAAGCCTGGGTTAATAAGATGTTTATTACATATGGCAAGGCAAACACAAAAATTTTTATAGACTGCAAATTGGCCAATAAAAGTGTCTGAAATGACCTTCCCATGTGATTGTTTGGTGCTAAATTAGGTTGTGTTGTGTTGTGCTATGGAAAATCCAGTACCATAAGCCTGTTAACTTTTACCACGATTATTTTTTATGATAGACTGTATGTATATTGCTGTAGATATGTGTTTTATTCATCTTTCCTTTCCTTGTTTTTTAGGACAATGTGGAGATTTTGTCGTTTGCTGTTAATAAGTTTTAAATGATAAGTTAAATGATAGGTTTTAAATAGTTATGTATGAATGATAAGTTAAATGATAGGTTTTAAATAGTTATGTATGAATGATAAGTTAAATGATAGGTTTTAAATAGTTATGTATGAGGAGTTTGTGGGATGTGGGTTTTAAGTTTTGAATAAATAAGTTTTAAATGATAAGTTCTTAATAGTTAAGTTATGAAGTGGATTTTGTTGTATGTGAGTTTTAAGTTATAAATAATATAGAGGGTAGTTATAAGTAAAATATAGGGGCACGCGGACATACAAAATTTATCTTCGAGTTTTGAAAAGATCTAAGAGCTAGAATATAAGGGTTAGAATGAAGTGATGATATCTACCCATCCATTGTATGGGTGGTGCAGGTAATGAATATAAGGGTTAGAATGAAGTGACGATATCTACCCATCCATTGTATGGGTGGTGCNGATATCTACCCATCCATTGTATGGGTGGTGCAGGTAATGAATATAAGGGTTAGAATGAAGTGACGATATCTACCCATCCATTGTATGGGTGGTGCAGGTAATGAATATAAGAGTTAGAATGAAATGACGATAACTACCCATCCATTATATGGGTGGTGGTGTTGAATATTATAAGAAATACAATGAAATGATGATATCTACCCATCCATTGTATGGGTGGTGGTGTTGAATATAAGAAATACAATGAAATGACGATATCTACCCATCCATTGTATGGGTGGTGGTGTTGAATATAAGAAATACAATGAAATGACGATATCTACCCATCCATTGTATGGATGGTGGTGTTGAATATAAGGGTTAGGATGAAATGACGATATCTACCCATCCATTATATGGGTGGTGGTGTTGAATATAAGAGTTAGAATGAAATGACGATATCTACCCATCCATTATATGG